CATAACACTAATGTGCATTTTCCTTGAGCTTAAAAGCACTTATATTCTCTTTTGAATGCTAACCACTAGATAGTGAAGCTATTCCATCATTCCATTTAAAAACAAATCTTTGGAAGGATACGTAGGCAGTTATACATGTCCTGAAGTGGTTTCTCATCAGCAAAGAGTCGAGACTGGACCAACTGATGAATGAAGCTTATCTGCATACTATGAACCAAAGCTCGGCCATCTTGCAGAAATTAAAAATAGTCCATATTAGAGATCTAGACATCAAATCATTTTAAGAAAACACTACCACACTGAATAGATTCCAGAAGGTTAAAAGGGTATTTAGCAACCTGGATTCTGCTGAAAATTAACAGTTCTTTCAATGTATCTGAGGGAAAATGCTATTTAGACTGCATTGCTAAAGGTACAAAATACACAGACCAAGGTGGTAAAAAGATTGTTGATGTTACCTCCGGTCTCTTTGTCCTCAACCAAAATTTCTAGTTTGAGGAGGCGCCATGGAACATCAGGGTCATCTCCCATCACTGTCAAGGTAGCTTCAAACTCTCCCTCAACTCGAAATTTCACACGGCCATTAGCTAGGAAAAAACAAACTTAGGGGGGTTTCATGCTCATCATGTTAAACAGGCACCTCAGAGTGCAAGAAGGCTTCCAATACAAAACAAAATGAATCTTCTATGATCCCTAATCCATTACATTCATTTCTACAAAAATTTAGCCAACTATTAAGGTTTATGAAAAACAAAATAGCAGCATTGTGAACAGATCTAATATAAGTTTCCTTAAACAGTATTACTTTAGTCAGGACTAGTAACATACCTGACAGTTCAGTATCTATTATTTCCTAAGCAGTCTGCAGACAATGAATCACATGAAAAAATATTTAACTGGTAGGTTAGCATTTCTAGAAATGACAAGCTAATGAACTACCTTCACCGATCACTAAGAGTCCATCTGCACTTACACAGATTGTACAACACAGTCTTCTATTGTAGATGCTACCGCCACACTGACAGAAGTTGTTTTTCCTATCTGTGAAGAAATACCACTTCCTGGAATAACATAGCTGTTGTCTGCACTGGGAGTTTGATCAGCACAACTACATCGGCCAGCGGTGTGTTTTTTTTCCCACACCTTGACTGACCTAACTAAGCATGTCTAAACTACGGAAAGAGGGATGTAAATTAGACAGATTGAAATTGCAAATGAAGCCGGGATTTGAATTTCCCGCGCTTCATTTGCATAATGGCAGCGGTGGGTTTTTTTCAAAAAAGACAATTTTTAACCGTTGTCTAGACAAAGTTCTTTCAGGAAAAAAACCCTTTTTCTAAAGATCCTGTACTCCTCAAAAAATGAGTACAGGATCTTTCTAAAAAAGGGAGAGGTTCTCAAAAGAACTGCGTCTAGACAGCGGTTTCACTTTCAAAATGCCCTTTTTTGAAAGAACGCACAGCTGCCATTATGCAAATGAAGCGCGGGAAATTCAAATCCCGGCTTCATTTGCAATTTCAATCTGTCTAATTTACATCCCTCTTTCTAAAGAGGGATGTAGTTTAGACATAGCCTAAGTATGTGCCTCTAATGGACTATGTGCCTCTAATGGGGTGGCCAACCCATTTAACAAAGAGAGCCAAAACAGCAGCGGAAAAAATACCCCCCCAGAACAGAATTGCTGAGCAAAAACAAAAAAAAATTTTTTTTTAAAGGAGGCTGGCCCTTTAAAACAGCCACCATCTTGGACGCCATTTTTAAAACCCCGCAGCTCTGACTCGGTAAGCACAGGGAAGCCAGGGGGGAGCTGGCGGGAGGATGGGGGCATTTGGGGGAGCAGAGGAGTGGCTTTGAGAGCCGCACTTTTGGGGGGCAAGAGCTGCATGCAGCTTGCAAGCCACGGGTTGGCCACGGCTTCAATGGACAATTTAAGCATTTACAAACCTTAGAACAAAATATCCACATTTAACCTCAGTACAAGTAATGCACCTTGATGAAGCCTACCTGTACCAAGTTTGATTGTTCATAGTTTCATGCTCAGGTGAGAAAGAGTCCAATATACACAAGCAAGGCTATTTAGGCTACCTACTTACATATTTATCCCAAGAACAACAGTTTTAGAGGGGTAGCCGAGTTAATCTACAACTGGAAAAACTTAAAAAACAAATGGTCTAACAGCACATTAAAGACTAACAGTATTATCTCCACTTTAGATAGAGGATCATAGTGCAGAAGGACTGACTTGCCCAAGGTCCAAAGGAAGTCCATGGTGGAACAGGAAATTGAACCCAAGTCTTAGGTTAGCACCATGGCTAATGCCACTGGATTAGCATTCATTCTACTGCAATCACATGACTAAGTGATTACGTAATTTACAATTATATTACAAACACCCCAATGGGTAAAATTTTAAAAAGTACATATTTAAGCATTTTTGAAATTTTTACCCAATACCACACATTTAGATATTAGGGCAACTAGCAAATCCATAAAATTCAAGATTAAAAACCAAAGTCAATAGTCTTGACTAGGGGAAAAAAGGATCCAATATTGAAGTATCAAGGACTTTTTATTTACCACTACATGCACTAATGGACAATTGTATATGCATATATCCAGTTGCTAAAATAGGGTCAATAGTTAACACCAATGGGAACAGCCACAGGAAATGGCGATGAAGAGAAAGGAGACACCATCTTGTCTACCGAACATCAGTAGGGGAAGACATGGAATAGGAGCAATCCCCTAATCAGGAGAAACTGTGTGCAGAAATACAAGAAACAATGGCTAATGAAAGCAAATGCTACAGTCATGGAACAGAAGATCAACCTTTCTTTCTTTTGTCAGAGTAGGATTTATTGGAGCTTTTTATGGTGGGTTTAAGTAAGATTATAAAACTCCCAGTTCTTTCAGGCTGTGCTAATTATATACACTAATATCACACAGTGGCAGAGTTTCAATCTTTTTAGATGCTTAAAATTTTTTTCCCAGCCATTTTTTGTTAAAAGTCTAAAATCACTAATTTAAATAGTCAGAAACAAACGAGTCTTTAAAAGTAACTTCAGGTGCTTACCAACTGTAAGATTTGCCAATTGTGGAGGAAGATCTGTAGTCACTAGTCGATGTCGAAGAATCTGGTTTAACTGATGAAGTGTGGTTTGCTTTTCGGTTTTTGTTATTGGGTCAGGAGGAATTATTTTATCCTGTTAAGGTAAGTATTAACACATTTTATTTATATATATATATTTTATTTATATATATTTATTTACATTTATGCATGAAAGTAGAATAGGATGCAGTGTTTGTATTTAAGCAGGCATTTTTAAAATATACATTCTACATCCTCTTGAATTTTCCTTCCAGTGAACTGACTTTGCTCTGTCTTATATTTAGGAAGGAATCACTAACCTCAGCCCACTTTAGATTATTCCGGACTTTATGAATCAAGTTGCCTTATTTTTTAAAAATTACGATTGATATCAAGATTTTTATATTTAAAGGAAAAAATTCTAGAATTCTGCAACCTTACGTAATTTCAGAAAAGCTTGTTTAACCAGAGTGGAAGCTAAACAAGGAAATTACTAAGCGATAGCTGAAGGTATTTTCATGGCTCTCTAGATACAAAAAGGCATTTAATCCTGGAGAGATAGTATAATAGCATGTATAATAGTATAGATAGCATGTATTAAGCAGAACATAGCTACAACCAAGAGACGGTGTAAGTAGCAGATTTCAATCTCATTTTATTTTAGTTATATTTTTTTCTGGGTTTTTTATTTAGTTTGTGCAAATAATCAGATGACTGATAAGCAAGGAAAAAGGTTTATTACTAAGCTGGTGCTATGGCAAAAATAGTTTAGCAAGATAGAACACTTAGTATCAAAAAGTTACCTTGTTTATATTTAGAGTATTTCTTATCAAGTTAGAATTTTGCAAATTATGACTGGTTTTGTATTAGCATGCAATTTAAAGAGAAATATGTACTTCATCTGCAGTAATCACAAGAGGAAAGATGTTTCATACTGTTAGTTTCACTAATTTGTGTTTGTTACCTGAAGGTATTTTAGGAGGGATCTTTTTCAGCTATACTGTAAAGACATTTACCCTTATACATGTTGGCAGACGTGGATATGACCCAGTTGTCAACACATCAATAGCATATGGGATAGCAAAACTGGGCAGGCGAGCATGAACCAAAGCATCTCTAGCTAGTGATGCTAAACGATCGGCAGTGTCCACAAATAGGATAGCTTGTTGATCTAGAAAACTTGATATCATCTGTAAGAGACCAAAAAGAAATACTGACTCCTGAAGCCAATCCCATGCCCAAAGTATCTCTAAACAGTATTTTCCCCTTTTCTCTCCCTCAATCGCCCACCTTTCAAGAAAGTCTATACTAGGGTGAGGTGGAAGGAATAGTTTGGTAGTTTCTTCTGTGCTCAAGGATATTTATACATTTTATTTCTCCCATCACCAAATCCTTTACAGATAAGCATACAAGGTTCCCACTCTTTATTCCAGGTTAAGTGTCTCATTTTACTTTGTCTACTAGGAGGTTCAAGTGTGAATTTAAGAAATTCCTGGGGAAAGAAAACAAGTTCTGGGAGTTTAGTAGGAACAACCCCAAATCCCTGCTTTTGTACACTCTAAAGCTTCCGAGAACAGAGCTTCCATAGCTGGGTTGCAGCTCTCTATACTTCTCTTCACAGATCATGTGAAAAATATGAATAGAACTTTGGGGGGTTTTATTCATTTCTTTTTAAGACATATATATGAAATTACATCTGTGGGATATTCATGAGGATAAGAGTATTTTGGATGGAGAGTTGCTGTACTTGTGCTGGTCCTAATCCCAAAATATTTTAGCAACAAGGTGGGTGATGTAATCTGTAATATTTTTTATTGGACTAACTTCCATTTGTGAGCAATACAAGCTTTTGAGCTTACACAGAGCTTTTCTTCAGGTCTGGAAAAATATATTCATTGAGTCAACAAACAGTATCTCCTCCACATTGTGTGTCTAGTATTTTGGATGGAATGCTAAAAGAATCATTTCATTTCAGCTTATACTTCACATCACAGATTTCTACTCCTATATACTATGCCTATGGCATGTTTGTGGAAGGTCATTTGTGGACTGTTACTAAATTACTACCATACTTTATATATATTCTATCAATAAATAAACTGACTTTTATTTATTTAACCAGGAGAAGGAATTGACTCTCTCACATTGCCTATCTAATTCAAGAAATATAACAGTAAAAACTAATGCGGAGATGAATGCTCTTCCTCTCCACCCTATCTCCTAACCTCCAAATGTTTTCACAACTGTTTTAATAATGTCTAGTTTCATCTATATTTTTTAATGTAAGCTTTTAAGATTTTATTCAGAGGGTACTAAAAAGCCCACCCACCAGTTTTAGGTCATTTTTTATAAAGTTGCTAACTTACCGCACATTTTTCCACTTTCCCAGCATTGTTAGCCCATTTTACTAAGGCTAATAATCTAACGAACAGTTGACGTGTGCGGCTTGCAAACTGCACTATTTCTATTTTTCTGTAAAAAAAAAAAAAGAAAAGAAAAAAGAGTCAAGTCAACACTGACACATCTCTCAGTCACAGTTTAGATACAGTACAGTTTGCCACTCAAGACCATGACATAGAAAATGTCGTTTAGATGCAGTTTAGACACAGTTTAGACTCTCAGTCACAGTTTAGATGCAGTACAGTTTGCCACTCAAGACCATGACATAGAAAATGTCTTGCAACTAATCAAGCTTATACTTTGCATAATATAACATCAATTTCAATTGTACAATTTCCCCACCCCCCAAAAAATGGTTTAATCTTTTCAAAAAACAGGCATGAGACTACTAAGGAGTCAAAATTCAGGATGTCTTCCAGACATGTTTTTTTTTTCCTCTTTGCTTACAGAAATATTGAATGCCCAGTCTTCCTCCTACCCTCATTTTTAAGCGTTGCTTTAAAAATTTACTGTACGGGTTGAATGCCACAGCCTATAGCCACAGCCCTATGTGTGCTCTTCACCGCAGCAAATGCCTGTCTATGACAGATAAGAAAGCAAGAGAGTCATGCTTTGATCTCAATTCGCACTTCCATTCCAGTCTTTAAAACGCCATCTAAGCCATGAGAAGTTTCTGATCTCAGAGAATATGGTCAGAATTTATTGACCTCCACGGAGTTACCTTGAATTTACAGTTTTTTGTTGTAAATGTTGCTGAAAATACAAGATTTTAGATAAGGGCATTGCTGCTATAAGTCACCCCGGTATATACATTCGACTTATGATACGAACGGGGCTTTTCTCGCCCCGGATGACGGGAGCGGTGGGACGCCCAGATGCGCCGTGGTCCGCCGCCCCCGTCGTCCGGGGCGAGAAAAGCTGCTCTGCCTCTCCCTGGTCTGCTCGGGGTAGGGGGAGGGGGAGAGGAGCCAGATCAGCACCGCGTCCCACCTGGGTCCTCCTCACTTTGCTCAGCATCTCCCTGGTCTGCAGACCAGGGAGACGCTGAGCAAAGCGGAGGAGGATCCGGGCGGGATCGAGTCGCTTCCAGATCAGCGCCGCGATCCCGCCCAGGTCCTCCGCGGCTTTGCTCAGCGTCTCCCTGGTCTGCTGGGGGGAGATGCAGCTAGTGCACCCCCCCCCCGCAGCAGACTAGGGAGACGTGGAGCAAAGTCCCGGGCCTGTGGTAGAGCAGGTGGGGCGCTGCCGGTTGGTCCCGCAGCACCGCTCCTTGGCGCTACTGGACCAACCCGGCAGCACCCCAGCTGCTCTGCCCCAGGCATCCCCAAGTCAGCTGCTGCTGAAACTGATCAGCAGCTGATTCCAGGAAGCCCGGGGCAGGGGCTTCCTGTAGTCAGACGCTGGTCAGTTTCAGCAGCGGCTGAATCTGGACGCCAGTTCCGACTTACATACAGATTCAACTTAAGAACAAACCTACAGTCCCTATCTTGTACGTAACCCGGGGACTGCCTGTATCCATTCCACACTAAAGTCATTGATGCTGGTAGGAATTGGTGTGTTATAAATCCTCCCATTCCCCACTCTTAAATCGCACAACCCTCCCCCCCACCGCCTCAATTTGCACAAATGGAAGTCAGCCGCAGGAAAAAAATAACCTGCTTTAAGCTGTTTCACTGTAAGTCCAAGTTTTTTGGAAAACGTATCTTGCACGTATAGTGAGGCTGTACATTAAGCAAGTTACAAAAACAATTATGATTTGTAGTAAATAAAAATATATACATTTAAGGTCAGAAGAGACCATTATGATAACCTAGTCTGGCCTCCTGTAACACACAGGACACCGAACTTTGTCCAATAATTTCTGCATTAACGCAATAACTTCTTTTGGTACAAAAGCATATGTTTTAAAAATATATCCTGGTCTGTAAGACTTCAAGTGATGGAGAAACCACCACATCTATACGCAACTTGTTCTAATAGTTACATTTAAAAACTTGCATATTGTTTTTCATCTGAACTTCTCTAGCTTTGGTTTCCAACCACAAGTTCTTATTGTGTCTTCCTACTAGCAAAAATTATCAGAAATCCCTGACTAATGTAGGTATTTCTATCTGTGATCTAGTCACTTCAATCTATTTAGTCCATCCTCAAGAAGGCTGAGCCACTTAAATCTACTTAAATAAATAGTGTTACTTTCCAGACTGTAAATACTTACTGTATTTCTCTTCTAAACTTCTCCAATTTTTCTACATCCCTTTTGAAGTGTTAGTACTAGAACAGGACACAGTATTCTACAGGTTGCATCTCCCAAATCCGGGATTCTCTGGTCTGGCAACATGCGTGATCTGGCATGACCACAGATGTTCCAGGAAGAGAGCGCCCCAGGGCAGGAGGGCCAGCAGCTGAGAGCTTGGTGCAGCCCTGTGAGTCTCGTAGTTGCGGGGCTGCAGCAGCCTGGGCAGAGCGCAATTGGGGCGGTCTGCAGCCCCGCAGCGGATCCGAGAGCACAGCAGCCCAAGCGGGGAATCCTAGCTGGGACGCATCAGCCTGGGCGGTGGCAATGGGGCCACAGCAGCCTGGGCAGCAGCAGCAGCATAATTGAGGCTGCCTACTGCCCGGCAGCAGGACCTGGGCTGCAGCTGCAGCAGTCTGGGAGGGGAAGCCAGCTGGGGCTGTGGCAACCCAGCAGAATCAGCATGGCTATGTCAGCATGCAGTTCGACAGCATGAGATTTGGCAGTGGGGTTGGAGCTGTGTGCTGCCGGCCTGGCAGCGGAGCTGGGGCTGTGGCTAGTCAGCAGACAGTCCAGCTGGGCTGAAGAAGCCAGCAGCGGGCTGAAGAGCTGGTGTTGGGGGACCTCCCTTTTTCGAGCAAATTCCCTCATGCAGGACAGGTCAGGTTCCAAGGGTGCTGGACAAGGGAGGTCCAATTAGTGATGTTAAATATAGGTTAACTGAATAGTTGATTAACCTCATGAATTCTTATCTGTTATTTGACTATCCTATAGTCCCCTGGGGTGAGGCCGGCAGCCAGCGTGCTATGGCCCCACTCCAGAGGAGCCCACTGCCACTGCCTGGCACCGCGAGGTGCCAGGAGTGAGCTGGTCCACGAGGGGAGCCAGTTTAAGAAACAGCTCTCCTCACGGACCAGTGGCCTGTTGCCCCATGCTGCTGCATCCCATTTGGCGGGGAGGGAGGGTTAGCTCCTGGACCCGACGTGAGCCAGAACTAAGCCAGGCTGCTTGCCTGCCTCCTAATACCTTTAAATGCAGAGCTGCAGTTGGGGTAGGTCCCGGACCCAGTGAGAGACAGAAGTGAGCCAGCCTACTATAAAATTTACTGGCAAGGGGTGTGTGGGGGGGGATGGGGGGTGTATAAAACGCTTGTAGCCTATAGCATTAGTCTATAAGCTTTTGCTTATCAATTAATTGGTTAATTTACTACACTATTACATCCCTAGTTCTAACCTGCAATAGTGGTCTTATTAATGTCCTATACAGAGATACTACCACCCTCCTGCTACTATTATTGGTAATAGTAGTAAATAGCCTGCAGCTTATCAAAGATTCCATTAGCTAGAGTAGTACTTCTCAAACTAAGGCTCAAGAACCCCAAAGTGTGTCTCAACCCTTTTTTGGTGGGATTGCCAGGACTGGAATTAGACTTGCTGGGATTCAGACCCAAAGCTCAAGCACCACCACCCAAAGCCAGTGGGTGGGACTCAGGTTATATGGCCCCACTGGGTTTCAGCTCTGCCCAGCACAGCAGAGCTCGAGGAGGCTCAGGCTTCAGTTCCTCATGTAGTAATTTTTGTTGTAAGAAGAGGGTCACAGTGCAATGAATTTTGAGAAGCTCTGCGCTAGAGAACTGAACAATGAGCTCAAATTCAACAGGTTTTTTATCACTATCCTTAAAAGCCACTAAATTGCAGGGTGTGATCCCCTATCATGTAAATGTGACCTAAGCTCTCTTTTCCCAGATTTATGAGCTTGGATTTGGCTTTATTAAGAGAGCTGTTTAATGATGATGGAGCTTTAAAAAGCCAGTGTAATACCTGTATAAAACAAGTAAGTATAAAAGAAGAACATATAAATACAACAAAGTTTTTGTTTGGCACATAAGAGAGATCACTGCTCCTCTGTATGAAGGGATATTTAGCAAGTATTAAAAAATTGTCTAGAATGTAGATTAAGAGTAAAGGAGGAACGAAAGAACTGTCTTGCCATTAGGAAGCAGAGTCAATCAGCGTTTCAGAGCTATTACTGCAATTTAATATTTATTTTTAATTACCAAAGCTTTAATTTAAGAACAACTTCAAAAGTTTGCTTTTTAATTTGATGGGTAGATCCTTTCAATCTTCCTTTGTAGACAGGGCCCTTATTGCAAATTGACATGACAACTGCTGTTGCTGAGATACAACGCCTTATTCACGGACTAAAAATACTGAAATTATTTTGGAAAATAAAGTTTATATAGCTATTCAAAATATCTGAACAGGAGTTTTCTTTTAATACTTCCCAGCACAAGCACTGTGCTGATATAAAGCAAGAATGAGAATTCAACTCCTATTGGTATACATTGGAAGCCAGGGCGCTTCAGAGTTGATGTAATGCAAGTTGCATTTAAAAATATCTATAATATAACCATCATTAATCCACTTAAATAAAAAATGTACACTATATGTCACTAGACAGGAAGGAAGGAAGCAGGAATTACCAATAGTGAGAATGAACAAATTACTTGCTATCAAAAGCCAAACCCAGGGTTTTCCCCATGTTACAAATGAATTGTCAGTAATATTGCAGCATATTAACAAGGTAGTTTCCTATCCAACTGCTATCTTGGATTATAACATATAATACTGAAAGTCATTTACTCTTAATCTATATGGAATAGTTAGAATTTAATTTTAGTGGTGTCTCTCTTATATAATAAAATTGCATATCTTTCAGAAAATCCTAAAATATCAGCATCCATAATTTCCTATAAGCTTTGCTTATCAAGGGATCCTCAAGAAGAATACTCGAGCAAGGAACTTGAACTTAACATGGATTTTAATTAGAGCTGAAGCCTGCCAGATATTAGGGATGTAAGCAAGTAGTCGACTGTCCAATAAGCATATGCTTATTGGATAGTATATGCTTATTGGATAGCTGACTATTAACTTCAGTTGCTTCCCCACCCTTTGCTGCCTCTATCAGAGAGTCAGCAAGGGGGGAGCAGGATTAAAAGCTGATTCCCCAAACACTGTCTCCGTGGGAGGACAGGGGCGCACAGCAGGGCTCTTGCTATATTTTAAAGGCAAAAACACCTCGAGAAGCACGGGGTCAGCAGGGGATTCAAGCAGTCCCCCGCTATCCCCGTGCTCCCTGCTTCTGAAATATACAAGAGCCCCATGGCCCCATGTTCCCCACAGCGCTTCTGCCTTTGAAATATAGCCAGAGCTGGTGGAGCTCTTGCTACATTTCAAAGGCAGAGGCACCCCTATCGACTAATCAAATAGTTGATGCAAATTCCATCGACTATTTGATTAGTTGATTAATCTAAATTTAATGTTCCTACCAGGTATCAATCACTCATCACTGATGGGTATATACTGCCTGTAATCAAGGCAGCATCTTGCAAGTAACCACTATTCCTTTAAGAGGTGCTTCCAGAGTCTGATGCTATTAAATTTCTCTGCATCATTACTGCTGCTATGGTAGCTTTCATATGCAGGAGCAACAGAGTAAGTTGATTAATTAAGCAATATCCCTTACAGCAACATTAAAGAGCTAGAGAAGCACTTCACTAAATGGCGTTAGACAACGACAAAATAATCCTAATATCACATGGCAGCTTACCACATATTGATCCCAATAGCACAATTCTATTTCAGACACCTCAGATTGCTTGTGCCTCTCTAACCAATCAGCATTCTCTTTCCTTTGTCCAACCTTCCTGCCCCATAGTGAAAGAGATCCAAGCTGATTCAGGCTATTGACCAATTTAACCTTGTGATCCTCACAAAGCAAATTCCAATTAAACCGACAAATGCCACAACAGCCCACAAATGCCACTCCACTTCCCCTGCCAGGAACAGCCATTGAGGCGCAAAGCCACTGCCTGTAGCAAATAGAGTAATAATTGTAAGAAACATGGAACATTAAAAATTAAAAAGGGGGCGGGAAATACCGAGCATAAAGCATGTCAGCAAGAAAAGAGGAGAAAAGAAGTCTTAAGACAACCCAAATTTTAATTCTCCAAAACTAGGATCTGGTAGCAAAAAAGATGAAATCCCATTTAAAATAATTTCATACAATTGAAATCTGTGCCACATAAGGCGAAGTACACACTTGTCTTGATACATAGCATTTCTAATTGTCATTAGAATTTTTGGGTTTGTGTGACCTGTGTTTTAGGGGAGTGAACAGTTAACAAGTTACCCAGTAAGCATCAGCCTTAATGTGTTATGCTTACCGCGTACTAGTTAATCAATGTCCAGGGACTGCCAGCTACCGCCCCAGGAATCTCCTGCTGCTGCCAGCAACCAACCCAGCATAGGGATCCCACTTACTTGGTTAACCTGATAAGTATGGGGTTAACCTAATGTTTAACCAGTTAACTGATTAATTGGGACTTTATGTCCCTACTGTGTTTAATTTGAAAATATACTAGACCAATAAGAGTTAACATAGGCAGCAAAGAAGCCAACATTACATTTTTCTGCCAAGTTCCATAGAAGCTACTCAAACCTCCAAAATAAGCACATTAAGTACTTTGATTTCAGCAAAAAGAGGGGATAATTCAGGTTCTCTTAAACCTGAAGAGAAACCAGGTTCTCTTTTTTTCTATCCATCTATTTTTGCCTATTTCTGAAGTATACAAAACAAGTTCTCCAGTCATAAAACAAAGTTTCCTTAATTGGTGTTTGAGGAGGAAAAGATGTCTCTCTAATAAGGGAAAGTAAACAAGAGGTCTTATTCTATTTACATTTTACAGCTACTAGTCCTATATTGGTAGGACTTCCTTCTCAATACATCTGTATTGGTTCCAGTTCTTCCACACACAATTAAAAAAATCAGGTAACCACATTATACCTAAAAATCCCATCCTCCAAGTTTTCATGTCCTATTACTCCTATCCAAAAGGAAAATGCTCTCAGCTGAACGGCACTTCTTTCAATTAAAAAAAATCAGGTAACCACATTATCCACAAAAATCCCATCCTCCAAGTTTTAATGTCCTATTACTCCTATCCAAAAGGGAAATGCTCTCAGCTGAACGGCACTTCTTGCTGGGTAAAGAACTGTTCAGAAGCTTATTAGAAATAGAATCCAACAATCCTAGGTAGTTTCAAATTAATGTAGCATTTTTGTGACAGCAATAGTAACTTCTGTCATACAGTAACATAAGGACAACCCAATGAAATCATTTTAAAAGGTAAATCTTGAATTAAGAGAATTCTTATTTCAATGATCCCACACTGACCTTAATGTTAAATTCTAGCATGCATTAATACCCCATTCTTGTTATGACTCACCTTTCCATGTCAGTCTTTCTTGGTAGTCTATTAAAAACATAAAAACATTATTTAATGTTATATTACATTTTAAATATTTAGGTATACGTTCATTTGCATCTAGTGAGTTCTTATAATTAAATAACAATTAAATTTAAGAGTCACTACTCTGCCATTAATACACCACATACTTTGGTAAGTGTGTTTCAAGAAGTTGTGTAGTAATTCTCCATCTTCATAAAACTAAATTTATCAAGTTTCACTGATCAAAAAGTTAATTTGATAGCTCTAGAAATAAGAGTTGCCTACTATACATATAACAGGTGAAAAATAAATAGCATCAATATAATATCCACCACTATGTGCTACCAACCTGCCTAAAATTGGAATTAAAAGAATCAACTTGAAAGATGAAATACTGTTGCTTCTCTCCTGAGCTAGCCAATATGGTTATCAATACAGGAAGCTCTTGCCATTCATGGTCGATACATTCTTGAGATCATCATGAATGGCAAAATCCACAATACTGGGGAGTGGGCGATGTTTCTGACACAAAACCACATTATCCGTATAAAATGATGTAATAGATTAATATTTACACACAATAATGCAATAAAAACATGTAATATCCAAAATTTTCTGATATGGAATCACTGCAAGCTTCCATTTCCCTTTCAGCTTTCAGGCTTCATTACTAGAGTGAAATGAAAAAGCATCACCACACTGAATCATGTGTTTGGGCTGGTACAGCCCAGCACCTCACGAATATGTGAGATCATGGATAGTGAAAATACAAATGGCAAGGGCTTCCTGTAAGTACTTTTAAAGACCCCCAAAAACTGTAGCTCACTAACAATCCTCCAGAAGATAGGACAAAGACCAACTAATTCTGCACACCTGGTTACAGAGCTCTTGCGACTTTGTCCTCACCCACAACTACTTCCAATTCGGAGACAATTTCTATCTTCAAGTCAGCGGCACAGCCATGGGCACCTGCATGGCACCACAATATGCCAAGGTCTTTATGGCCAGGCCTCAACAAATAATGTAATCTACTCACCCGTTGCAAGTAGATTATAACCCGGAAGAGCCAGCGCAGAGTTATCTGCGCATGCGCAGAGCCGCACGAAACCGCACGGCTGACGAGCAGAACTCGCCGCCGCTTGGCGAACCCTGTTTATGGCTGACCTTGAACATTTCCTCAGCTCTCGCCCCCTAGCATCCTTACTCTACTTACGCTACATTGATGACATCATCATACAAACCCGGGGGAAAGAGATCCTTGAAGAATTTCACAGGAAGTTGAACAATTTCCACCCCACCATCAACCTAAGCCTGGATCAGTCCACATCAGAGATCCGCTTCCTTGACACTGCAGTACAAGTAAATGATGGACAAATTTCTACCACCCTATACCGGAAACCTACCGACCACTACACTTACCTTCATGCCTTTAGCTTCCATCCCAGACACATTTCTCAGTCTACTGTATACAGCCAAGCCCTAAGATAGAACCGGATTTGCTCCAATCCCACAGACAGAGACAAACACCTCCAGGACCTATTCTACATAGAGCATTCATAAAACTGAAATACCCACCCAGAGAAGTGAAAAAAACAGATCGATAGAGTCAAAAAAGTACCCAGACAAGAACTACTTCAAGACAGGCCAAAAAGAGAAAACAACAGAATTCCACCTGTCATCACCTACAGCCCACAACTTAAACCCCTTCAATACATTATCAACAATTTACAACCTATCCTGGAAAATGACCTGTCACTCTCAGAGGCCTTGAGGGAAAGGACAATCCTCGCTTACAGACAACCCCCTAACCTCAAACAAATTATTTCCTATAACCACGCTACACAGCTCACCATAATCATCCAGGAACCCACCCCTGCAATCCGCCCCAGTACCTACTCTGCCCACACATCTACACAAGCGATTTCATCAATGGACCCAACCACATCAGCCACCAAATCAGAGGCTCATTTAACTGCACATCCACTAATGTGATATATGCCATCAAATGCCCCACTGCCATGTATACAGCCTCTCTCCAAGTTACGAACCAAACACTTGGCTGTAACTCGATCTCTTCATAACTCGGACCCCACTGAGTTACATAGCAACCGCACTGTTCGTAAGCACGGGTCGCGTTTGTAACTCAGGGACCGTTTTACTACTGCTCCCTGGGAGGTTTGGTCGTAAATGTGAATGGTCATAACTCGACCATTTTCAACTCAGGCACTGGCTGTACTGGCCAAACTGGACAATCTCTATGGGAAAGAATTAATGGACACAAACCAGATATTTGAAAGCAATACACAAAAACCTTTTGGAGAACACTTTAATCTGCCTGAACACTTATTAATGGATCTCCAAGTCACCATTTTGTTTCAGACCAATTCCACAAGCCAAATACACAGAAGGTTTAGAACTTAACTTCATTTACAGCAAATGGTATGAACAAGGACATTGGTTGGCTTGCACACCACCTTCCACATCCTATGACTTAATCTACCAACCAAACAATGGAGGTGCTAATTGTTCTTATTAGCCTGTTGTAACTATTTGAACCATCTACTCACAATTTTTTTCTCTTTTCCCCCCTCCTTTTTTTTTCCCCACTCCCTCCTCGCCCCTTCGCCTTCCCTTATTTATTCTTGGACCTGGACTTCTAATTCTCGTGTAAATCTGATGAAGTGGGTTGTGCCCACAAAAGCTCATATCACCATCTACATGTTTTGTAAGTCTTTAAGGTGCTATTAGACTATTTGTTGTTTAAGTTTTTCCTGTTACAGACTAACTTGGCTATCCCTATGAAGTTTTTTAATTCATCTTATGTAGGCCACTTAATAGACAAGTATAACTTTTGGCCCAAATGATATGAAGTGAATTAGCTGTGTGAAGATAGCTCCGCCTCCCATCTCATTATTCACCTCCAATGAAGTTTTTTAGTTAATCTTATGTAGGCCACTTAATAGACAAGTATAACTTTTGGCCCAAATGATATGAAGTGAATTAGCTGTGTGAAGATAGCTCCGCCTCCCATCTCATTATTCACCTCCAAATTCTTCCTCAAAACTCTTTTGTCATGCTGCCTATAAAAACCTTTGCCTCAGGTGGCCATTAGTATGCAGAGACCACAGCCTATCAAGCTGAGCAATGCTGGCTCACAGTTCAACTCCCCCCATCTATTTATAATAATGTATTGTCTCTTGTTATGCTTAGACCGTAACTCTCTCAAAGCAGGAAGCGTGCTTTGTTCTATACTTGGAAGGTAAATTTTCTCAGAGAACTAGACATTTATACTTCATGATGGACACTTAATCCCAAGGGAGATCTTCCACCTACACTAGCCAAATGTACAGAACTTGTGACATACATTGAAAATCTAGGACATTCACATTCAGTGCGATCCTGGATCAATGAACCAATGTATTCATGCAATTAATACAAAAATTGTCAGATTTAGGATTGCTTGAAGTAGCAATGTTGCGCATGAAGTAGCAATGTTGGGCTTCCCATGGTATACACAGTGTGCATCGCGCAAATATTGTGATAATAGAAGTGACTGAAGGTGCGAGGGCAATGCAAGAGGTTAGAAGAAGTTACACTGAGTACATTTTACTGTTAAAGCCCTAAAACTCAACTAAATACACACTAGACACTGAACTAAGATACTTTTGTCCTTTATAGATTATAAATCTGTAAATAGGATTCATGAGTACATCTTACTGTTAAAGCCCTAAAACTCAACTGAACACACACTAGACACTGAACTAAGATTCTTTTGTCCTTAATAGATTATAAATCTGTAAATAGGATTCAGAGAGTGTCAAAACATCCACAAATGTGCATCTTCAAAACTAGCTGAAATTCTCAAGTGGATGGATATGGCATGTGTAAGTTAATTATGGAAATACAGTGTATACTATTACATTCAGTAATTATTGTTCAGGACAGAATTAGGGGGTACAGAATTCCCATTTGGCCCCATAAATTACTTTTTTCTCCCATGCCCACCTACACCATCCTGTGAAGTTAATCAGATTAACTCAGGAAAGGTACTGTAGAAGCTAAATTAAACACATTGCCCAGATTTAAATTCACTCCTTGTTTGTGTTTTCATAGCATGCACTACAGCAACCAAAAATAAGAGGAAACAAGATAACCATACACTAGTTTATTCTCATTTATTAAAGAGCTTAACTGAAACGTTCGAACTTTTAACTTTAATGTAGAAGAAAATGTAAATGCTTCCCAAACAAAACAAACTGTTCTCAAGCTTTTTTCTCTGGTTTCCACCCTTTACGCCACTTGACAGATCCCCACGAACATTTAGCAGGGGATGTACAGGCACAAAGCCTTGTAAGGTCTAACTTGCACCCTGGGGTGCAAGCTTCGGGGAAGGACAGCTCTGGGCACCCAGCCACCTCCCCCTCCCCCCTAGAGGCAGGGAGCGGGGCGCCGAGCGCGGCACTCACAGGTCTGCCAACACCGTCAGCTCCGCGTAGGTCTTGACAGATCCCCACGAACATTTAGCAGGGGATGTACAGGCACAAAGCCTTGTAAGGTCTAACTTGCACCCTGGGGTGCAAGCTTCGGGGAAGGACAGCTCTGGGCACCCAGCCACCTCCCCCTCCCCCCTAGAGGCAGGGAGCGGGGCGCCGAGCGCGGCACTCACAGGTCTGCCAACACCGTCAGCTCCGCGTAGGTCCGGTGCAGCAGGAAGTCGATGAGGGCGCTGAGCCGGTAGCCGGGGCTGGCC